GTTAACTGCCAAGTAAATTCAGCCATCTTTACGGCATCACATTTGGTCATGTGTGATCATCATATGGAACTGAAACATGAATTTCTACAAACCCAACATGGGCACATTTGAGAACCACCCACATGCAAATATCTTTCATTCAAGACATGACAGAGTCTCCTTTTGAACTCACCTGGGGCATAATATCTCCAACTGATTACAGAGCTCCTGGATATAGATAGACCCCTTTCTAGTGTGGCGGAAGGACTGGTAGTGCCCTACTGTGGCCATTCCGATTAGCATATCCGCTTCTATAGGAATAAAGCGGGATGCCGGATTATAAGCATCTGCCTCGTATTCTTCTCCTTCTGTAGCATTTTCCGGTGAATCCGCTGTCCATACACCATCCTGGCTCTCACTTCCTTGGCAGGCTTGAATGAAGAAAAGCTTGGGCTTGGATGCTAGTGTACGGCATTCAGCAATAGGCATTGTGAGTTCACGGATTTCAACCTCTTTACCATCCACACCCAAAACTATGCCCTTCTCTCCATGCGAGAGGACACAGCAGACAAAAGCACCCATTTGAGTATGATCCTTTTTTGCAAATTGCTTTATCATTTCCTTCATATCTGAAGCTGTCAGATCGTCCTGAACCTCAACCTTAAAATGCATTCTGCAAAACACTCTGCTAAGGTCATCTACACAAACAGAGAGAGAGAGGGTTCATTTAAAAATAAATTTTGAAGGAATACATATATGTTAATGGATTTGCCTGAAATACCTTTGTCCTTATTCGTTCCTGTTCGGTTGGCCAATGAGGACCTTTCTTTAAAGTTGTAGTTGTTGATGATTAGACAATATCCAAGAGGCCGCCGAGTCATATTATAATATTCCCCCGGCTACATGAATGCAAAGCAAATCAAATTAAAATTACATTTTTTATTTACATAATTCACAAACAGCCAGTACACACATACACATCTTATTAATAGAAAATCATTAATAAATCATATTTGTCACAGCAGTGACGTTGTGGAAATTAAAAACAGCTGTTTGTGATTAGTTTATGCTATGCCTTAGTGAAAAAGTTCAAATTTATCAGCTGTGGGCCAATCAGGTCCTATTTAAACAGTCAATCATAATGACCCTGATCTGTGAATTAATTATAACTTATTTGAAATCCTTGCTGTGTACTGATTCACCAATCCTAATTAAATAACACCATTATTAGCATTTGTTTGTAACTTCTATAGGAGTGTGAAACTATAAAACTCTAAACCACTAAAACTAGTAGTGCTGCAAATAGTTTTTTACAACATTCAACTGTAATGTAACAATGAAAAAAATATTTAATATTAAGAATGAAATGTAATGTGTCTTTTTTACTCTGGGTTCAGTGTCTGAATCGGGAACAAGCGAGTCTCTCCTCCCTAAAAAAAACATATGGTGAGATATATATATATATACAGTATATACACACAAGGAGCATTAATGTTCAGTAATGTCTTGAAAGTTTGTATGAGAGTATAACTTACATCCATTTCCTGTCTCCATTTGCTGTGATAAAGCCAAAATATGGAGGGAAGAGAAACAACAGAGGTTATTATGCATTGAATTGCAGCATATTTATCATTTAAAATGTATTTGTCACCAAACAAATACTGCACTCTGTGTTGAAATGTGAACTTCATTTTGAAAATGCTAATTTACATGAAAGCATTCATTTCAGGAAGTTAAAATAAAAATGCCAAGTATAAGATGTGGTTCTCAACTGGTGTTTTGTGACCACACAAAAAAAATGCCAGCAGGGGAAAAACAACGCAAAATACATGGCCTCATCCTTTAAAATCATGAATGAAACTAGGCAAAAGAAAATATTACCCAGACTATATTAAAAACGAGTTCACTAGCAAAGTGGATAAACACTATTTTCTGAGGAGAATAAAACCAATTAAAAACATTTAGAAACCAATAATAAATACATTTAAATATTTGACATTAACGACATTTTTGTATGTTACAACAAAAATAATAATTTGGTACTCTGTTGGGTCACTTGAATATGGGACATATGATAAAAATAGACATTTTTAAAGAAATAGTTCCCCCAAAAATGAAAATCTGCTGTTAATTTACTCACCCTCAGGCCATCCAAGATGTAGGTGACTTTTTTCCTCAGTAGAAGAGTAAAGATTTTTAGCTGTAACCATGGTCCATTTACATTTACATTATGTTGTAAATAATGTTCAGCTTCTTGCACAGACCGATTGTTTCACTTCATAAGACGTCAATATACCGTCAGGAGCCATATGTATTCATTTTGTGTTCCCTGATATGCTTTTGTTTGACTCTCAAAATGAAAGTAACTGCTGACTTGCATTTTATGAATCACCAAAAACCATAGTTTCAGCTAAAATTCTTCCTTACTGTTCTACTGAATACAAAATCTTGGATGGCCAGAGGGTCAGTAAATTAACAGCAAATTTTCATTTTTGGTGAACTATCCCTTTAAGTGAGTTTTCACATTTGGTTCTTAAATGACACAGAAATCCACATCATAAGAAATATTTGGGTTATACTATGTGAAAATTAAATGCCCAAATTCATCTTAAGGTAAAATCTGGCATACTTACATATCTTTGCATATTTTCAACGGGTAAGGAAACTTGCTCATTACCAAACACTTCTCGTAGAGGAAGTCTGCCTCCTATTGGACAAAAAAAAAGCTGCTGTTTATGTTTGGAGAAATTAGAAAAGTAGACAATTAAGTAGTAGATAATTAATTTGATTTTGTCAGTAACCTTGTTCCCGGGCCCTGTACGCCTCTATCCTGCAGGCCAGCTGTTTGTCACATTTGTCTAAAACATTGTAAAGTTCATCCAGGTTGTCTTCCCCAAGCTTCTGTAGCTTTTCCATCTCAATCATAACATCTAGAAATGTCTATATGATTCACATAAAATAACATTGTTATAGAGTAACAGGTTAAAGTGCAACCCATAATAAATATTCGTAATTAAATAATAACATTTACAAGGCTAGTTACTGCAGTCAAGGTAGCAAGCTACATATTGCACTTTTCCACATTAATTTATTATTCATATGCAATCTGCACTAACATTATAACTTCCGGGCTCAAAATATATAACTCACAGCAGACGTTCCTAGTTTTGACCTCGGAAGTTCCACAAGGAATTTCACTGCACGAAGGTTTTCTTCTGTCATGTCCTCAGATATTCTAAATAGCATTTTTCTGTGATGAGAAAAGAGTGAGACAAAACAAGTCACAGTCATTGTGACATAAAATAGTATCAGTACAGTAACTACAGTACAAGGAGCCCTTTCTAATAAAACGATGTGATATTGACTGATATTGATATTGCGTTGGCAACTACTTCTATCTAGTTTATCAAGTTTAGCAAGTCAGTGTGTTTTCTTCATACCTGTAGTCTGAGACACCTTTACTAGACATGTCACGTTGTAGCAGATTTCTTTCCACATCATCTTTGGACATTTCCAGGATGCCAAGTAAGTCAAGGTGGCCAATAGTGATCAGAAGCTCGGGGATGAGTAACCCGTCATCAAGCAGTGCTTGCTCTTCCAGTCTCAGGAACAGTTCTTTGGCATCAGTCACTGTCTCCAAACGTTTCTTGGGAATTAGGTCCATGCACAGAAACTTCAGCTGGGCCACTTCACTACATGGCAGGTTCTCATCAATCTTGTGAAACTTATGAGGATCCATATTCTGTTACATAATGTTAAACAAAGACTCGTTGAAATAAAGGAAGAAACAACTTGAGAAAGCCCTTACTTTGGCAACTATAATAACCATAAGTTCAATAAAACATGTTACAACTTGCCCAACCCAATATGAAAAATGTCCTTGTCCTGAAAACATGGCGTAAAGAACGTTCATGATATATTTCTAGAGTGTATTTATTGTGTTCACTTGTTAACAAAGAATACAAAATACGATTACATTGGACTTTTAGTTTAGGACAGAATTCACATATAGCGTCATTTAACAAGTTTCGAACTAGGTATTTGAACGCAGCATACAAAACCACTAATTCAAACATTTTTTATTCAAAAACACAGTTTTTGATATATAGCTTTGTGACAACGTTCCCATATGACAACTAGCCCAGGTCAAAGTGTACATTACACGGTTTTAGTTATTTGTTTAACGTATTCACGTATTTGAAATCCTCCGATAGTTTTTAAAACTACTATTCTAGCCGCTTGGGCCAATAAACGGAATGTATAAAATGTATACTAAATATTTTTAGTTGTGTATCATATTACACTTCAAGACACGACTGCCACTGCTTTAAAGGGTTTGGTATCACTAAATACATTTTTTGTTCAGCGAGTCGAATGCTACAATGTAACTGTGATGACAAACTAACCCCGGACTAGGTTATGACAAACAGTCTTGAAAGTTAACCCGAACAATCAACTAAAATGCTCAACTTAATGCTCATCTTACCTCTATATTTACAACATCCAACTGAAATAAAATCGTAACTGTCGTATAAACAAAATCAAGAGAGTACGACCGACATGCTAAAGATACTGCGTTTCCAACGCGTCTTGCTTTCAGTTCAGCTCTAGCTTTTCAATTTCAACACTACAGGAAGTGACATAGGATGTGTTCACAAATGTGTTATATAATATTTGTGGGGGTTACTCTCGAATTACTGAATTCTGAACAGCAGTAAGAAATACTTTAATTTTCAGACAGTTTTGATTGAAGAAAAACATAAATGTGTATATTTTAAGTATATTTAATGTGTAAAACATTTCCTATAAATAACTAAAAAAATTGTTATATAAAAAGTTGAGGCTTTAATATTTATTTTGACACACTAGAAAGTTTACTGTTTTAAGTATATTCTGTGCAATATTTATTTATCACTGCAAAGGTCTATAAATGACTGTGTCACTCAAATAATCAAGATTAACCAAATACTATTACAGTACATACAAAAACAGAGCATAACATCATTATACCAAGGCACTATTAGAAGAAAACCTTTATTTTCAATATGTCAGAAATTGGTACGTGTTTGTTATTCCTGTGGAAAGTTTTGAGAGTCTTTAAGGGATTTTCCTGGAGTACTTTGAGAGACAAAGGGCGCAAAGAAGTCATGAGCAAATGAGAAAACATCCTGAGGTTTCCTCAACAGCAGAAATTGCAGGAAGTCCCCCAGTAAAGCCTTTAGCACAGGGTGTTGTCTGATGTAGGAGGAGTAGTCTGCTTTGAGTTCTTCCTGTGTGAGTGAAAATGAGTCACACATTTGCATATTTGTTGAGTGACCTTTATTTTATGTGGTCCTTTGATTGAAATTCTTAGAAGTTCTAAAAAAAAAAAATGTATTTCCAGGTAGAAATTAGATATTGAGTCTCAGAGTTTCAACGTGGGCTGCATGGACTTTTGGAACCCACAGTGTATTTTAATAACCATGAAGAGGTCTTTATGAATAAATTAAAGGTGCAATAGGTGATTGTCTTCAGAAACATTTTTTGTTATGCTGGTTGAAAGTCTCTTCACATCACGATAGCAATCATTAAGTTAAGTGGTCTAAATGTATTTGTCTGTATTTATATATTCTGTGGAAGGTGTAGGATCAAGAAATGTTCGTCCAGTCAAAACACTCGGTCCGAGCGTTTTAATATGCTTTCCTACCTGCCTGTCAACATATGTATTAGCATACCTCTGCGCACCGGGTTCGCGCAGACAGGATACGTCATCAGCGCGTTCACACACGCTGCGCAGACAGAGCGAGAATGGCAGACAAACATCAACAA